GCTGCTTTCATTTTTCTGGAATATGAGGTTATTATCTTCTTCCTCTTCTTCTTCTTCTGCGGGCTATAATCCTCAGCCTGAGGAAGGTACGTTTTATTTTAATTTTTTGTTTAAAATTTTCCGTACATGCATATTGGTTTTCTTTTTTAGTTATTAAATTTACCTATATTTTATAGGAAGTATTTAATTTTAGTGTTTTTTTGGGTTGGGGGCTCTGGCAGGTGAGAAGAAATGCTTGAATTCAGAGCTGTGGCACGCGTGCGCAGGCCCTCTGGTGTCCCTTCCACAAGTCGGGAGCCGTGTTGTGTATTTCCCCCAGGGACACAGCGAGCAGGTAACTAGGATTGTACTTGAAATAATTGTAGCACAGTCATAAGCTCTGCTATGACATTCAGAGGATTGGGTGCGTACACAATCTGTGTCATCCCTGGGATAGGGGTGCACGTTTGGTTAGTTTTTATTGTATATGTATTCCTGTGTTACAATAGATCTACAATTCTTTTACTTGGGTTACTTCAAGTGCAACTTTTCATATGATTTTGACCAGAAATTCTGGATAAGTGATTGCACATGTTTATTGGTGGCTGGTAGTTTACAAGAACACTTTATCCTACTATAATATATGTATCAAAACAAGGCACTCATATGTCACACTTGCTGTTGGTTGTACATCAATAATACAAATTTCGAAGGAAAATGAAGAAAAGAAAATGATCCGAGGATGCTCTTCAAGTTTTATAGCTATCAAGTGTAGTTAGTTTGTGTAAACATATTTATCGATTATGGGTGAATGTCTTCTTATTAATTAGTGTTCCTGGAAAACGAACAACTTTTAGTTGATGAGTTATTTGTCGAAACATGGTTAGCAAGATACAGCTATACAGTGTAACCTGTCGCTGTTTATTGCACTTCTTATCCGTTCCTACCAAAACTGTTTCTCTGCCTATTTGTTTCTGGGGCTGCGGTGGTTGAAAATTTTCTAACAGGTCATGTTGTAGTGGCTATTTTTGCAATTAATTGTTGTACAAGCTTCAGGAATGATGTCACTTGAAAGCTTCATCTATATGGTGTTACTTTTGAGTAGCCCTTCACACTTAATAAATTTGTGCTATAAACTATTATATATGAACAGGTTACTGCCTCAACCAACAGGGAAGCAGATGCCACTATCCCCAACTATCCTGGCTTATCACCACAACTTATATGCCAGCTTCACAATGTGACTATGCATGTGAGTTGCTTTTAGAACTCTAGTACCTGTTCAGCTGTATGTTATTTCCCTATTGTATACATATTAACAGGTTTTGTTCTTATAACAGGCAGATATTGAAACGGATGAAGTATATGCACAAATGACTTTGCAACCACTTAATCCTGTACTGTACCGTGACATCTTTATTTATTTGTGTATCTTCTTATTCCATGGTTGCTCTCTTTATTAACTCATTGATTTTGATAGGATGAGCAAAAGGACTTGTGCCTGCTTCCAGCAGAACTTGGCACCCCGAGTAAACAGCCCACCAATTATTTCTGTAAAACATTGACTGCAAGTGACACCAGCACTCATGGAGGATTCTCTGTCCCTCGCCGAGCAGCTGAGAAAGTCTTTCCTTCTCTTGTATGTTTGATCGTACCTCCAGAATCTGACCTCACATTTTCTATGATATGTTGATATTTTTCTAAGTTGTCATCTATGGCCTGTTCAGGATTATTCACAAACACCTCCTTGTCAAGAGTTGATTGCGAAGGATCTCCATGGAAATGAGTGGAAGTTCAGGCATATTTTTCGAGGTAAGTATTCCTTAGGAATGGTTTCTTGAAATTTCTTCAGTTTGGTTTTGTCAAGTGTTGTTAACATATTTCCTTATCTGTGCACAGTTACTTCAATGATTACAAAATTTAAGCAATCATATAGTTTCCATGTTCTATTCAATGGCTTCTCTTAGTCGTCTCTTTTCAGTCTCAATGCTTGGTATGCTACTTTCTCGTCAAAATGTCCTTTTATTTATCAAAAAATGGTTTTCCCCCACAATTGCAATCTAGAAGTAGCTCCAGTCTGATTTTTTACTCTTCAAAGTGGGAAATGTAAAAGCAATCTTTTTGGAGTAAGGGTAAGCTTATGTTTTGTTTTGCATCCTTTTTTTTGGTTATGGAGGTGTAATTGGAGATGAGGAGATGGTTACTCTATAATTGCAAGCCCTATTGAGGCCTGCTACTTTGAGTAAGACAGTGGGAAGTTCTAAAATGAGACGGATTGTTGTTAGCTTCCTGCAATTGTGGAAATTTGGTGCTGGAAATTACAGATGGTAACTAGATGGAACCCAAAAGAATCATACTGCTTGACTGAGGCTTGAAAAGTTGAGTTAGATTTTGGTAGCACAGTATTCTGGCAGTATCACAATGCTGTAGATCGTAACTAGGTGGTATTTCTTTAATACGAAGAAGTATAAAACAATGTATGACTAGGTGGTATTTCTTTAATACGAAGAAGTATAAAACATAAAAAATTAGGAAATTTGGTTTCTTCCATGTATGATCGTTACCTCATCCTGGGGCTGCTGCTTAAATTGGACAGTCGGCTGAGGGCTTTTCTGAGGCTCCTTTATTGCTAAATCAGGCGTGTAGAAGACTCTTGGAATTGCCACTTGTTGAACTGCCTTACAGGATTTTTTTTGGTGCCATCTGGCTAGTTTCAATTCTTATGTCTAACAAAGGCTTGGAAGAAAGAATCTACCAAACAGAAGGTTCAGAAACGTGCTTCAAGAAATGGAGAGAACAGCTTTGAAACTGCTAATACGGACTTTGACTTCCCTTTACGTGGAATGATAATGTGTTCCATAATACCTCCTTTTTTACTTACATGACACGACAGATGTCCTAAAAACTCTATTTAACCTCTCTCTGATTTAGTGATTTGGAAGCGAAGCAAGCCAAATGATCTTGGTAATAATGAACTAACAGCTCTGACCAGAAAAAATTGTCAGTAAAACTTGTTTATCTCATTAATTTAGGGAACCAGTTGTATTTAGTTCTGCAATTGAGTGGAAAATTTAAACAGATTTGCTGAAGGTGGGCTCTGGATTATCATGGTGTCTTAATACTTCGGTTGTTGGACGATTTTCTTTTCTAGCACTTGTATGTTTTCCTTTTTACTGAACAAGGCCTGAGGACGTTCATGCATAATCTACAGAGATATCATATTTGCTTATTATATATGGTGACCAACTTCTGAAATTTTCAGTTCATATTTTCCTTTTTACTGAACAAGGCCTAAGGACATTCATGCATAATCTACAGAGATATCATATTTGCTTTAGATATGGTGACCAACTTCTGAAATTTTCAGTTCATCTTATTTTCATTTACAGGACAGCCAAAGAGGCATCTCCTTACGACAGGGTGGAGTGTGTTCGTCAGTGCAAAGCGACTTGTTGCTGGAGACTCAGTGATTTTCATCTGGTAGGCACAGTTGTCTGCATGCATGTGAGATCTTCATGAATAAGCTTTCACGCGTTTGCATCTCTCTCTTATGTGCTTTTGCATTCATGCTAATTTATGTAATTATATATATATATATATNTAAGCTTTCACGCGTTTGCATCTCTTTATCTTATGTGCTTTTGCATTCTAATTTATGCAAGTTTATATATATCTGTTTTGTGTTATTATTTTTAAACATGTTTCTCTAGTTTGTTGGTACTTGGAACTATAACACTCCAAATTTTCATAAATCTTGAAGTGTTACCAAAAAAACTCACTTTTTTTTTTTACGTTAGATGCAGACCGATAAAAATATAAATATCTATAAAATAAAATAACTGGAATATTCATAAATTTAAACTAAAACATGGAATTTGTATCTTTATAAAAATATAATCATCTAGCCAATTAAATAACGGGCCTTTGAATAAACTAAACTAATAAATTGAATGACAGAAAAACTTAATGTTTAATTTTCCTTCGATCTACTGGCGTGCCGCATCATCATTCTTCCACTAATCCAATCGACCTAACTTGTAAAATTATTGTAAGTGTGAGTATTTACAAATGCCCAGTAAGATACGTGCAGTTTTCATACATAATTATATAACAATAAATTTAAACACTTCATACCACTCTTATGAATTATATCGGTGACTAAGCGACACACCCATCATATGTCATCTTAAATTCTCGAAAGATTTCATATTTCTTTATAAAGAATTCGAAGGTCCACAACAATTCATGTATAAATTACTGAATACATAAAGGTATACGGAAACAAACCGCTTTCACACAAGTATCTTACCTTGATAGATCAAATGAATTTTTAAAAGAAATATGAATTCATGTTCCAAATACTTGTCTGTGCTTTGGTGAATGTGTAATGCTAGAAAATATTATTTAATGCATGCAAACTTTCTGATTTTCAAAACTAATCTCTCTCTCTCTCTCTCTCTGTTGCTGTGTATGTATATATGAATTTGTGTGCAAAAGCTCTAACATCATCTCCTATATATATATATATATATAGGTAATTATGATTTAGCCTATATGGAGTTGTGTGTAAGTGGGGAACCATGTATTGCTACAAATTGGATTAAAATTGGTTTCAAAAAAATAGACTTTAGGTAGGAATAGGTTTTACTTTATAGTGGTATACTACTATTAGGATTTGGTTTAAAAAAATGGTTTCCTAGGCAACCAATTCTAATAATCTAATTTTACCGAATTTTGTAATTGGGAGAAAATAATTAGGATGGTTATGAAAGTGGAATTGAATTACAATTTGACCTTTTCATTCTAATCCGAAGATTAAGAGTTAATTCAAAATAATCAAAACACGTGGTTGTCATATTACTAAGTTAATATTCTAAACTACTCAAAATTCTAATGATCCTTATTTTCCTTCAATTGAGTCTAACTTAACGTGTTCTTATCCAGAATACCTTTTTCTCGAGTTAAAGACTTCTAAATTATTTCAAACTATAAAAAGAGCCCAATATTGATATACTAAAATTCGCTCTATCAAAATATAATTAGCACATGTTTGGTACACATTCTTTCAAAATACATTATTTGAAAACTCATTTTCAACCACATATTGTTCGATAAAATAATATTTTCCATCACATCAAAAAAATTTCCTTACTTTTTCACCACATATTTCCCATCATATTACTACTTAAAATACATTATTATCTCAATAATATCCATCAAACACTCTTATTTGACACACACACAAAAAAAAAAAAA